AGACAATACCAAGGGCCTGTGGTAGGAATGAGTCTGGATTGTTTGAAGAACATGAAGGTCAGCATAACCGGAGCAGAATTAGTGAGACAGATGGGCAGTAACAGGAGAGGGGGATGGAGGGTCTGCAGGGCCAGGCCATGGTCAGGAGTTTGGATTTTACTCTAAGTGGGAGCCACGGAGGGGTTGTAAGCAGCAGAAGGAAGGGATCTCTCCGGCGGCTGTGTGGAGAGTGGAGCACAGGGAGTGGGAGCCAGGAAGGATGCCACAAAAGTGGTCCAGGTGCCAGGTGACAACGTCATGTGCTAGGAGGTATTTTGGAGGCAGAGCCCAACACACACTTGTTGATGGGGTGGCAGGGGAAGGGGAAAGAGGAATCAAGGGTGACTCCTGGGTTTTTGTCCTGAGCAAATGGTGCCCTTTGCTGAGATGGGAAGCCGAGGGAGGGGCAGGGTGGAGAGAACAAGGGGTGGGTGGGAATAAGAAGCCATTTTTAGACGTGTGAACTCTGTGATGCCCGTGAGTGACAGCCAAGAAGGGTGTTGAGTAAACAGCCAAGTCTGGAGCTTAGCCAAGAGCACAGGGCAGATAAGTGCCCTGTCAGCTTATTTATAGCCACTGGACTTGATAATTCGCCTAGGGACAGAGCACAGAGGCTCTGAAATTAATAAAAACACTAGCAGCCATCACTGAGCACTGTGCTAAATTGCATAGACTCTCTCCATTAATCTTCGTAAGTCTGTGAGGTAGGTGCATTGTTACTCCCATTTATAGATGAGACCGTTGGGACTTGGAAATCAGTAGCCCGCCCCAGGCCGCCCCTCTAAGTGCAGGCTCAGGTTCGAGCCTAGATGGGCAGACCCCAGAGCTGATGCCCTCCACCGCTGCGCCTGTTCCCCCCCATCAGTGCCTGGTGTTCTCACAACATTTAGGGCAGGGCAACTGGTGAAGCTGCCCAGGAGGCAGGGCAGACCCTACCAGAGCACAGCTGCCCGGCCCAGAGCGCCCACGGTGATGTCAGCAAGGCCGTCGCCACTGAAATCCAAGCCACCGGCCACAGACATGCCGAAGTAGTGGAGTCCTGGGGCCACTGCTGAGGCTCTGATCCTCTGCAGAGGGAGAGACACGAGGTGTTATAGAGGGAATGGGGTTTCCGTCCATTTTACTCAGTCAGCAGATCAGCCTCAGTCCCAGGGGAAGAGGCATTTGAATGGAGGCTTGAAGGAGGGTGGGGTTTGACCAGGAGAATGAGGACAGCGAGGGGTGGGGAAGAGCAAGGTCATCCAAGGGAAGAGCAAGGTCATCCAAGGAAACAGCCAGGGGCCACTGTGGTGGGAACAGGGGGGATGTGGGTGCAAAGACACCTGATGTGAAACCAAGGAATAGAGTGGGGGTGTCTACTCAGAACTACAGAATTTCAGACACGCCACTGAAGACACAGGGTGGAAGATGCAGAGGAGGCGGGAGCCAGGTCAGGGGTGCTGGGGATGGAGAGGAGGGGCTGGATGGGGGAGGCTGACAGGCTGAGCCGGGTGTCTGGGGTTACCCAGGGTTTCTGCTGTGAGGGGTAGAGGAGGGGCCCAGAGGGGCAGCAGGTCTTGGGGAGAGGGTGCTTTCTGTTGGGCATCAAGAAAGTGAGATGCTGGACACCGTGCAGGTGGGAGGCTCAGGAGCAGCTGGACACACAGGACTGAAGCTTGCAGAAAAACGGCAGCCACAGTGGGTGAAAGTGCCCTTAAGAGACGTAGCACGGAGGCGGGCACTGGAGCCCTGGGGGATGAGAGTGAGGCATGGAGGGTGGGGTTGGGGACAGGAGCCAGAGAAGGGACTGAGAGAGAGGAAAGAGGCTCTGAGGCAGGTCCATGGTCAGGAATGCCAGAGGAGGAGGGAAATGCAGGTCAGGAAAGTGCACGGACGTTGCCATGACCTCTCGCCCCACTGGAAGGGTCTGGGGTGAGAATCTCCAAGTGACTCTGTCCTTCATCGGGCGCTCCCAGCCCCCTGGGACCTGCCTGGCACTTAGGACTGGAGCTGACTTGGGTCTCAGGCCATCATATCTGGGAAGGTCAGAGTCTTAGAGTAGAAGCCCTGTGGTCACCTGTGACCAGCTGGTAGAGAGGTTAACCAGCTGGTTGGTAGAACGTCCGTTGTAGATGTACACGCTGCCAAAACCTGCGCCATCATCTGCTCCAAAGTCCTCCAGGGGGGCCCCGATGGCCACATCTGTGAGCTTGTCCTGACTGATATCCCCCACCGTTGCCATGGCAAAGCCAAATCGGGCATATATTAACCTGGAATGCCCGATCAGCTCGCGCTCCAAGGAGAAGGAACCATCCTGTAGAGCAGAGAGGCAGCTCAGCCTTCAAGACAGGGCTGCAGGGTGCCCACCTCATCGCCAACCCAGGAGGCGTGCTCATGGACTTGGTGACTCTGATTCTCCACTGGGGACTCTGAGGCTCAGAAAAGGCAAGAGACCTTCCCAAGGGTACACAGTGCGCGAGTGGTGAAGCTGGGGTCTTCCTGCCTTGCAGTTCAGGACCTAGAGCCATCCCACCCTCCAACTCCCATGATGGGGGACTAGACTGGCCATCAGGAGGCCCAGCTTCTCGCCTTGGCTCCACCACACACTTGCTCTATATACTGAAGCAAGTCTCATCATCACTGAGTCTCAGCCTCCTCATCTGTAGAATGGGAGGGACAGCTACCTCCCACAGTGACTGTGAGAAACAAATGAGATCGCAGACAAAACATGCTGTGTCAACTGTGCAGCGATTTGGAATGTGGTCATCCTCAACATGAGAAGACGAGGTAGGGGAGGCGAGACAGTGGGGGAGGGCAGGGAGAGCAGTAGTGGCCCCCCACCCCACCCAGGCCACCATCCACTCTAAGCTCCCTGTCACCGCCCTCTGGTGCAAGGCAGGGCCAGGGTGCTCTCAGCCTCCAGCATGTTGGCCCTAGGGTGAGCAGCCACAGCCTCAGCAAGGACAGAGACTCTCCCACCTGCTTGTTCACACGGTACATGTAGACTCTGCCCTCCTCTCCTTGAATGTGGTAGAATGGAGCCGCCACCAGCAAGAAGTCCGTGGTCCCATCCATGTCAATGTCCACAGGGCACAGCCCAGAGCCAAAATAGGACCCCATCTACATTGCAGGAGGAACACAGTCACGGGGAGGGCTGAGGAGGCCCCCCCAGACCCCTCGGCAAGGCTAGAATCCTGTTCTTGCCCTTCCTGGACCACCGAATTGGGGTCACACCAGTTTCATCTGTTCACCGGAATAACACAGGGGACGGGGTGAACAGCCCCCCCCCAATGAGACACGCAGAGCTGGGGCAGGAGCTGAGTTCCGCTGGGGCTCTGCCCAGGATGGGTGCCCTGGAGCCCACCCCTTTCCCTGTGGGGTCTCCAGACCCCTCCTCTATAGTAACGGGGGTGGGGAGGGTCTTCTCCAGCACATACCTGCTCGCCCTCCAGCACTGGCACGAAGTCAGTCTCTCTGCCCTCCTGGAGCTCAAACACAGCCCCTCTCTGCCTGTGCCGTGGAGCCCCCGCCACATAGGCGAGGCCAGAGGGCTTGTGCAGCACAGCCACCGAGTAACCTGAGGGTTGGGGGCTGTGACTGGGAGCCCCCACCGCCTGACTCCTTTGAGCCCCCCACCTTCCCAACTAGACCCTCGAAGTGGCCTGGGCAGGGAGGCAAAATTGGAGAGACTATCTTTCTCATCCTTTTAAAAATTCATCAGGATTGCTCCCACTTACCCACTGTGGCCAGTCACACACACGGGCCCCAGCACACAGATGGGATGTACACACATTATCATACACACAGCTTCGCTCAAAATGTACTCCACAATTACTGCCCACGTTCATTACCCACACAGCACAGGAAGACCGAGGAGGGCATGAAGGCTCACCTACCACTATTATTAACGGCAAGGCTCTCTCCTTCCCTAGGCAGCCACCCAGGGCCACCCAGCACTTCAGTTCTGAGCAGGCCTAATTCTAAGCTTCAGGGTCCCTAACCAGGGCCCATCCCTTAGTCCATGTGATCGACAAGGGCCCTCTTGGACTAGGAAACTTATTGCAGCCTAAGGTACAATCTCAGTATCCCAGACAGCCTCCAAGTCTCCGCCCTCACCCAGGCAGCCTCCAGGCTCCCCTCACCCAGGCAGCCTCCAGGCCCCGCCCTCACCCAGGCAGCCTCCAGGCCCCGCCCTCACCCAGGCAGCCTCCAGGCCCCGCCCTCACCTAGGTAACCATATTGCGCAGCCTTGGCATCCACCACTGTCTGGTTCAGGAAATGGCCCCGACAGTTATTTGTGTCATAGAGCAGCACACCCCCCGACCAATCAAAGGCCCCGACAGCTCCGAGCAGCACCTGTCCCTGCAGGGGACAAGGGTTGGTGACCCTGTGAGCAGGAGGGACCCAGGGCCAGCTATGGTGGCCAAGGGTCTACCGGCCAATGCAGTGAGCCTTGCAGAGGGGACAGGAGGTGTTCAGCATGCCTGTGTCCCACCTGCCAGAGGTGCAGGAGGATGGTGAGATGGCAAACTCTAGGTTCCTGCCTTGTACCCATGAGTTTGTCAGGGCAGCTGTCCCCCCAGTACCAAGGACCTCCCAGGGCAGAAATCCAACCCGGGGCCCAGATGTTGAGTGTTAAAAAAAAGTCTGACTGAGCAAGACATGGCTCATCTCCACAGGCCGCCCAGCCAGGGCCCAAGGCCCACCTGCAGGGAGAGATGTGCCAGCCCAGCTTCCACCACATACATGGACAGTGTCCTCAATGTGCCTGCATGTCTCCCCATCAGCAGGGGACAGGGCCTTCGGTCGGAAGAAGTACTCAACTTGGTTGGCAAGCCCAGCCAGGCCAAAACCCATGTCTATGCTAAGGGACACTGCTTAATCCTGGAACAGGACAAAACAACCTCCTGTTTATAAGTAGGGCCTTACTTTCATTGACCTCAAAGGTCCAGTTTTGGGGCAAGGAAACTTTGTCCTAAAATGGCTCCTTCAGAGGCATCACCACAGGAGGGCAGGGAGAGCAAGAGGTCCCTGAGTTCCTGGGGGTCGTGGGGGCGCCCTCCTCTGTGGGGAGCCTGCCCGGTGTTGAGTCGGCCATGTACCTCGTCCAGGATCTGGGCGCTGAACCCGACCTGTGCCAGCTGGTAGTGGGGGGCGTCTCCGACCGTGCCTGGAAGACAAGAAGCCAGTGAGTCGGCTGTGGGCCGAGGTGAAGGGAGAAACCACGTCAGAGAAGGGTCCAGCTTGGCCTTGCTCCCAGGGGAGCGATATTCCACACGATGGGCTGAGCACCAGGCTGGAGGAGAGATCTGGGTCCTGACAGAGCAGGCTGGGCAGCCCCCATCCCCCACTCGCCCTTTTGGGCCTCAGTCTCCTCATCTGTGAGCTCCTGGGAGCAGGAACCACACCCCAGTCAGCCTTTATCTCCAGCACCAGAAAGAGCCTCATGGAATCTGGGGGAGGTAAAGAGGGCTGGGGATGCTGTTGCCTTTTGAGAGATGGAACAGCTGAGGCTCAGAGAGGTGACGGTTGTCCAGAGTGCCACACGGAGGTAGGACGGGGCGGGGCTGGAGCGCAGGTCTCAGGCCTCCCGCTGAAAGCTCAGGGGGCTGCCGCGGGCTGGTTGCGGCCCCTGGAGCCTCACCTTCCACGCGAATGATGCTCTGCTGCAATTTGCTCAGCAGCCCATCCAGCGCCATGTAGTTGGTCACCTTGAAGGCGTGGGCCTCAGGGGTCTCTGAGGCAATCAGCTTCAGTTGCTCATAGGTCTTGTTATTCTTAAATGCATCTCCCACCTGCACAGATGCCCTGGGCAGTGGTCAGCGTGTGAGGGCTCGCCAGGCCCAGGGAGAGCGCTGAGCCCGCCCGCTGGCTGAGGTCCTCCACCTTCTCCCTTCTTTACCTGCTCCCTATGCTCCTCCACACACACTCTACATGGGTTTTCCTGAACACACTGGGCTCCTTCTCACCCCTGAATGTCCTGGTCCCTCTGCCTGCAGTGCCCTTCCCGCCTCCCCTGTGCCCTTGGTTAGCTACTCCCGTTTGTCCTCCAAGACTCGGCTCAGCACCATCTCCTCCAGGAATCTTCCTGCTATCCCTCCCATGGCTCCCAGAGTGTCCACCGCTCTCCCCATCACTGCTAGGCCAGTGAGCCATGTCCACTGTTAGGAAATGAGCCCTC